CCTACCATACTCATCCTTATCTCATATGAAAGATAAGAAGATTTCCTACAACTCTCATGAAGACACCAAGTCCTAATTCCTTCATCTACTTTGTTAAAAATTCTAAAAACCGCAACAGCTATAAGTAATGCTAGCAGCTTGACCCCTCTTCACTAAAACAGCCATATCTGGAGTTCTAAAACTCCTTTTTGGGTGATTTCAGCGCCATTGGAAAGCTAACATCCAAGGCTACAACTTTTATGAAGACTATAAAGTCCAATTCTGAAAATCAAATTCACGCCCGGCGAATTAAAAGCTAGCCCGGCGCAATTCTCAACCAGAGACCTACAGAGTTCTATTGCGCCCGGCGTGGTTCTACCCGAGCCCGGCGCGATTCACCCTTAGGATTCCCCATTTCAACTCACGCCCGGCGCGACGAACTTAGCCCGGCGCAAATTCAAACAGGATCCACCCAAAACCTGCAAAATCAACACCCCAGGCACATGCAATCGGTCCAAAACATCACATTTTCATCATACAACCCGAAAATACCCCCTTTTTCAACATGCAACCACAAACAAGGAAAGATCACCAAATTTTTATCAAACCCCGGAAAACCCCGAAACCCCATCTTCAGCAATTTCAGCCAAAAACCATCAATTATCCAACAGCAAATGAGTTCCTGGACTCAGTTACAGCCAAAAACAGCGAGAACCAAGCTTCCCTTACCTCGGTGAAGAAATTCCGAGCTTCCGGGAAAGCGAAGGAAAAGACGAATGACGAACGGAGAAAAAGATAAACGCCCAGCTATCAACTAACTCCACGAGAAAAGGACCACCTTGCTCACAGTCTTGGCCTGAGGAGAAGAAATTGGTATCAAATATTTTTGAGTGAAAGGAGAAGGGAGAATGAGAAAAGAGAGTGAGAGGGACAACAAGGAAAGGAGAAGGGAGGGAGTGGCTGCGGGGGCTCACAGGAGTCCTAATTAGTTTAGCACCCCGCAACGCACCAATCATGTGCTCCACATCCAGAAATGCTAAAATTAAAAGAAAAGATAAAAGTACAAAGTGGGGGACCAAAACCAAAACCCACCAAAAAGATTACAAAAATTACAAAAAATCTAAGCAAAAAAGGAAGGAAAAAGATCAGCCTTGACACAATGCCAAAGCAACACCTAAACCAACAATACAAATCCAATATGACATAATTAGGACAGTGAAATCATGGCACCAAACTACCATACCAAACCGGAAAATACAACACTTAGAGACTATCATCTAACAGCTCCTTCATGGGTGCTTATTTGACTTAGAAGCTCTTGATCTTGTTCTAGTTCGAGGCCTATCCGCTTCTGGTTTTTTAGGCGTCGAATTTGGGATCTTGATTGGATCAGAGTATCCTTCCTCCCAGTCATATCCAATCTCTTCAAGGATAGGGACGTGGGGTAAAAGATCCACCTTCTTTGGATCAAACTCGGAAGCAGCGTTCATAATGGCAGCAAAGTCCCATTTCTTATGTCTTGTATTAGGTCCTGGAATATGAATTTTAGCTGTCACATTTACTGCACCAACTACATGATCAGCTGCAGCACTTGAGATGTCCTTTTCCGAGCTGATCAGCTGATTTTGGTCATTGGAAAGATCTTCCAGAGAGGGCATACCTTCAAGGGAGTTATCATCATGTTGACTATCCATATCTGCTGCTGGATCAGTAGCTGCACTTGTCTCGGCTGCTGACTTACCCGGATTAGCATCAGAATTTGATGCTTGGATTACTGCAACATCTTTAGCAGCTGCACCATCTTTAGCAGCTGAGTCAACAGTTGTATTCGGTTGAGCAGTTGTAGCTAAATTAGCACCTTTATGTGTTATATCATTGATTCTCAATGTCTCAATTCCACGGATAACAAGGGCTGCAACTTCACGTGCTGCAAGCGGTGCAACATCAATGCCAAGCGGTGTCGTGATCATTGCATTTGGCCGACCAGCAGCAGCGTCACCATCCAATCCACCAGCCTGCACCATATCAGGTGCTGAAACAGGACTAGCCATATGATTTTTTATTGGTTCAGCTGGCTCCTCGAATTGTTGTCTCGGTGCAATTGAAGCAGCTGGATCACCTACTTGATCAGCTGCAAAAACACCTGACTTTTGTCCTGCAACTGTTGAGCCAGGTGGTGCTTTCCATGATTCGTGATTTAGCTTTAGCTCATTGTTTGATTTTGCTCTAGCTGCTTCTGCATGGTTATCCGCATTACATGCAGAATTAACGTGGCCTATACAGTGGCGTTTGGAACAAAACATAGGCAGCCTATCGAATTCAAAAGTAACAAAGAAAGCATAACCTTCACGTTCCACCAGCAACTGGGTTGGAATCTTGTTCGCAAGATCAACTTCAATCAAGACTCGAGCGAAGTGTCCATACGTCATTTGCAAGGTTGCTTTGTCCAAGGTGATTGGCGTTCCAACTACAACAGCTATTACAAGAATGATTCTTATGGGTTCCAATATTCTTGAGGCAATTCCAAGATTCTCGACCATACTTGAGCAAGAGAGTTCCTATGATTCTTTGGATTAAAATCTGGTTTCCAAAGAGAAAGCCGAAGCAATCCTGGATTCAATTCCCATGTTCTAGCCGCAAGAACAGTGCCAAGATCATTGCAGCTCTGAAATTCTATCTCAAAGTAGCCCCTGCTGAGAGGGATGATGTTCCATCCATCAATATGACGCCACAAAGATGAAAGTTTAGTTTTCAAATCGGTTACCTTCAATGGTTTTTGTCCTTTAGTCAAAAGGACTCTCCCATGGAGGTGCTTTAGAGCACCTTGCTAGTCCCTCTTGGTATATATGCATCTTTGAGGATCTTGAGTTTTAACGGAGGTTTGTAAGACCTCAAAGGTGACGGGGTTCCAAGGCAAGGCCAAGGCAAGGACAAGTGAACATGTCCACCATGCCTAAGTATGGGTGTGCAAGAAACCTCCTTCAAGCTTGGAGAGTTCTTGGAGAATTCTTGGAGGCAGAGAGCAAGTGAATTTTGTACAAGTCTGCAAAGTTTTAAAAAATTTAAAAATTATTTAATATTATGACTCATTAATCCAAATTAATATATAATTTTTTTATATTTATATGACAATTAAAATAAATATACTATAATATCAAATAGTTATTAATAAAAAAAAATTTATATTCAGCGTGTTGAATCAACATGTTAATATTAAGTAGTGATTCCTAGTCCACACATTTAATCATGTCCGTCCCAGATCAAAAACGTGAAAATAAGAAATAAAATTTTTTTACTTCTCCATTATCGTAGTTTTCAAACGTGTATCCAGATCCAACGATTACATCATGTTAAACTCGCATTTGACTTTCGAAATAAAATAAATGATCTTATTTTTATCCATGAATTTGGTGAGCCAACCCTTCAGGGTAATGTGTTGGGACTTGGAATAAACTTCAATATCCTCGAAATAGAAAGTGGAGAACATAGTTGTTTACGAATAATTTAATTTCTTTTCTTCAATTTATAAACAAATAACGTAGGATCTTTAATGAAAGTAACCTAGACTCTTTATTGCCCGATAAATTTGGATTCGTATTTCTTGCATTTAAAATGCAACTGCATCGTTGTCCAATCATTAATGTGTGCATTTAGGTTTTTGTAGTTATTAGAAACGTGCTGTCACTTCATAGTTCACACTCCATAAACTTTTTCCAATCATTACCACGTTCACATAAAAAGCGAAGATAGTAAGTATCACGAAAATAAAATTATAATAAGCTACATTTCTTAATTAAAAAAAACAGGACAAAAACATTTTATTTTGAAGAAAACCAAATTAGTGAAAAAGAGAATAGGCTTAAATACATTTATAATCTCTTAAATTTAGAATAAATTTATTTTTATCTTTCAAATTTAAAAATATTATTTTTAATTTTTTTAATTTTTAAAAATTTTATTTTAATTTCTGCCATCAATAACATATTTAAAAATGAAGGATTGAAATAATTATACAGCATCAATAAAATTTAATATGATATTTTTACTAACAGGAAGATTAATATGTAGATTTTATGTGAAAATATTTAACAGATTTTTTAACAAAATTTGAGTATAAAGACTAAAATATTTTTTTTTAAAATTACAGGATTAAAAAAACCAAATTTTAAATTCGAGAAACTAAAACATTTAACCCAAGAAAATACAAAATTCAACGGAAATATCATTTTATATATAAAAATATAAAAATTCATGTTAAAGATGTTTTTTTTCTAAAAAAGGAAACTTAAACTTTCTATATATTATATTGAAAAAACTCAAGTCCGACATTGATTAAAAATTAAACAATTAAATAATATATAACTGGAAAATAATCGTCACCTTATAAATCAATTTGTAGGATTGAATTAGCCTTAAATTCACTACTCTAAAATATATATATATATATATATATATATATATATGGGGGATTATAATTATACTGGTGTAACTTTTACTAAGTATTATACCGCTTAATAATTTAATATTAAATGTGAATTTTGTAAATTCAACTGTTAGATTGAAAGTTCTTTACTCTTAGATCATATATACACAATTTTATATTAATCCAAGATGATTTGATACTTCATTCTTATAAAACAAAATTGACGTAATATATTCATTTCAAAATATACAAAAATATGAACACTTTGATTAGCTTCAAGTTGTTATTCAATTTTAACCAAATTTGATATACATATATAAAGTAATATGAACTTTCAATCTAACGGTTAGATTTACAAAATTGACATTTAATATAAAATTATTGAATGGTGTAATACTTAGTAAAAGTTACATCGGTGTAATTATAGTCTCTTATATATGCATGACATATAACTATGTATACTTATATATGTATATGCATCATATATAACTATGCATAGTTGCATACTTATATATGTATAAGTACTTATCTACGAGGATGGCATAGGTACGTAAGACATGTGCAATTGTGGAACGTGGCCAGCGATACTTAAAAAGGTTGATGATGTGCCAAATTGTGAACCACCGTATTTTTGGCTGTAATTGTACCGTCATTATCGTAGGAGTATCTTTCAATTCCCGTTCGCTTTCGACCTCACACACTGTGCGGTGCTTCCCTTCCAATACACTCCATTTATCACCACTTCGCACTACACCACCCCACATCTCTACCAACTTGCTTCCAAACCTATCACTTCCCCAACCACACACCGCACCCACCTTCGAAAACAACCTCGCCTTCTTACTTCTTAGTTTCCTTATTCCTAGTACCACGCATTTCGAGCCAACAACCCACGTAACCATGGTGGAGAGGTCCGCAGGGAAGCTCGGCTGGCTCATCGTCCGCCCCAAAACGGTGCCGTTCGCCTCGCGCAGGACCTTCTTCGCCTTCCTCTGGGTCGCCGCGCTCGCCTCGCTTTTCGTCTGGCAGAGGAACTCCACCAACGGGCTTCTCACTCTCGACGGCATTGCGCCCGCGCCTCCGCCGAAGCTGCGCCCCGCGGTGTTCTGTTTGACGGAGTTTGGTGGCGTTGGCGACGGCGTTACTCTCAACACGGAGGCGTTTGAGAGAGGCGTTAGGGCTATTTCCGAGTTGGGGAGTAGGGGTGGCGGTCAACTCAACGTGCCACCTGGACGCTGGCTCACTGCGCCGTTTAATCTCACCAGTCATATCACTCTTTTTCTCGCTACTCATGCTGTTATACTTGCTGTTCAGGTTTTCTTCTTTCGAATCTCAATTCATTACTATCGTCTCCTTCGGAATGCACTGTTTTGTTTTGGTTTAACTATCTCACTCTGTGTTCCAATTATGAAACCACTTACTTTTGGTAATAACATGTTTTTTCGTTTAATTAACACTTTTCGTACTCTATAATAGTTTTCCTTACGTGTTTGAAAAATATCACACTATGATTCTCGTAAAGACTAATTTAAAATGTTGAAAAGACAACAAGTGTCGGAGTAATTTTACAAATTTTGTATAATTTATAAAATACTTTTTGTATTAGCTTTTCTATATATATGTTTTAATTTATGTGTAAGTGAATTTTACTTAATGAATTAATTTATTTAGTTTTTTATTTGCAATAAAATGTGTTGGAGAATATGGTAATGATATTGATAATAAATAGTGTTGGGTTGAGTTTGGTTGAGGGAGTTGGTCTCTTTGAAAGTAGTGAGTTATGGTTTGGAACCTTGGATGGGATGTTCACATGTGATTGTGTCCGAAAAGAAATATAAGTGGCAAAATAAAAGGAAAAAAGAAAAAAAGTAGCGACAGAAATGTTATGGCCTATCAGAAAAGGACTTATACAGCCTGTCATAAGAAAATTGACTTATCAAAAGTAAAGGACTTGCTTTTATTGCCATTTCATTTCAGCTCACGTAAAAAATGTGGCTTCAATTATTTTCCGATTAAAATTGACATTTTACCACAATAAATTAGTATTGGTAGTTAATATTGATTTTTATAACGTGAATTACTGAAACGAAACTTTGAATTTACTCAAGTATTAGTACAGCACTGAAAATGAAATAATAGAGCACTGTTATAAAAGGAGCTGAGGGAAGGGGACCATGGTCCCCTTTTTTTTTTAAATGTATTTAAATTAATATTTTGACACCTCATGCATTTAAATTATTAAATAAATAATTTATGTTTCCTTTAAATTTTAATTTTTTTTAGGGGAAATATTAAAAATTAGTAGATAAAAATTATCATATTAATTTATACTTAAAAACTATATATATATATATAGATAAGTATTTATGATGTTAGAGACTTAGAGTGTATATGTATAAATGTAAATTTAGTGACCAGAATTTTTTTTGAGGACATGATGTGACAAAACTTTGTTAACAAGATATTTTTTAATTATATTTCATTAATGGCTGGATTGAAACAGAAAGAGACAAGAAAGAGACACGAGAAAAATATGAAAAAAGGTGATAGCTAGATGAAACAAAAACAACAAAATCAAAAATGTGATAATTATATAGTTTAAATATATTTTAAGTTCATGTGAAAATGACTTAGTCTCATTTTATTTCTTGCAAAATACTTTGTCAATTTTAGATCTTAATCTTTTATCAATATTCTTTTTTTTTTTTTATGGGATTCTCAATATTCTTTTTAAATAATTGATTCTAGTTAATTTAGTGTTCATATAATTAACAAAATAAAGAATATTAAGATAACTAAAGTAATAAAGTATATTTTAAATTAAGATAATTAAATTATTTTTAGTATATATTTAATAAGGTAGTGTATTTATTGTTTTAAATAAATAATACAATCACGTAAAATTTGCTTTTATAATTTACTTTTAATTATAAATATATTATGAACAGTAATTTTTTTAATTGATTTTAATATTTTATTAATTTTTAATTTATTAATTTAATTTTAACATTATAATTTTTTTTAAAAATATTATAATTGACTTAAATGCTTATAATGTACTTTTAATATATTAATTTTCATTTTAATTCATTAATTTTTGACTTATTGTAATATAATTTTTAATACATCACAAATCATGATTGTCTACAAAGACGAAAAAAATAAATATTATAAGTAAATAATAAGTGTCTCAATATATTATTTTTGAAAAATATTAGAATGTTAAATGTAAATTAATGAATTAAGAAATAAGAACAATATTAAATCAATAAAGATAGATGTTCCTAATAAATTAAAAATAAAAATAAAAAACTATATGAAATTACCTTATTTATATAAAATAATAAATATATTACTTAATTAAATTATATACTTAAAAATACTATAATTATTTTAATTTAAAATATTTTTTGTTACCTTAATTATGTTAATATCTTTCGTTTATTTATTCATATCAAAATTAAATTAACTAGATTCATGTCCATGTATAAAATTGAATTTTTTTTTCACAAAAATTAGATAAAGACATATTTACAGTAATTTAAAACATATTTAACTTTAGTTATATTTATAACTTTTCAATAAAAAAAAATTTCACGAGTACTCAGGTAACTCACATTATTTATGCATTCTGCTGCAATTTATCATCAAACTTTTTTCTCCTGCTATTCCACTCTTATCTTTTCTTGATTTTGATATAACCTGACCTGTATATATCTCTTTCCACTCTCTTGATTAAAACTTTTTACTTACATTATATTTTTTTTTATCTTGTGTGATGATTAACAGGATGAAAAGTATTGGCCACTGATGCCTCCATTGCCATCATATGGGGATGGAAGGGAGCATCCAGGGCCTCGATATAGCAGTTTGATTCATGGTCAAAATCTTAGAGATGTTGTAATAACAGGTCAGGATCAAAAAGCCATCATCTTCTCCTTTTATTTTAGAATCTCAAAATGAAAATAATATTGTCCAAATTTTTCTTTAATTAGTTTTGACACCTAATATTTAGTTTATTTTCAAGTATACTTGTTTCACATAAACTATATCGATTACTCCCATTAAACTTATATTAGCGGATGAATGCATCTCGTTCTTCTATATTTATTTAAAAGTATTTAAGAATATTAATATTTATTAAAATAATTGATATTGTATTAGTCTTTTAATCTTAAAATCTTGGATTCAAATCTCGGATTTAATTAATTTTTAATATTAATTTTTATTATTTAAAAATTTAAAAATAAAATAATCTAAAAATTGTGTATATGAAAACAAGATATTCTCTTTATAATAAGTATAAATATAATATAAAAAAATAACTAATTTTATACAAATTAAAAAAGTTCATTAAATGCATTTAATTTTTATAATTTCATATAAAATATATATTATATTTTTTTAAATATTCTTAACAACATTCATGATAAATAATTTTTTACTTATTACCATGAAAGTATTTTGAATTAAGAATATTAAATAAGGTTGATTTGCTAAAAATTTGTTTATATTTCAATTAAAAAGTTTTAAGTATTTGTCTTACTTGTGTATAGATTATGAAGAAGTAAAAGACAACTTATAAGAAGAGTGAACTAATCAGGAGCCATACAAGATGATGATAAAAAAATATAGGCTAACGTACAGATTGCTGGTCTCTTTTACTTTTCTTTGCGTAATACTTAATCTCAATATGTTTCACTGGTTTACAGGCCATAATGGTACCATAAATGGACAGGGACAAATATGGTGGACAAAGTTTTTCCAGAAGCTTCTCCACCACACAAGGGGACCTCTTGTTCAGATATTGTGGTCTAGTGACATTGTGATCTCAAATATTACTTTGCGTGACTCTCCGTTTTGGACACTTCATCCATATGACTGCAAAAATGTTACAGTTAAAAATGTTACTATATTGGCTCCTGTGTACAACGCCCCAAATACCGATGGCATAGATCCTGGCATGTATCTTCTACAAATGCTATGTTTCATATCAAAATATATGATGTGCTGGTTATTTCTATCCTCTACTTTAAGTTATTAATGTTCATGAGAGGCTTTGATCTCGATAGCTTCCAATTAAACCAACTTAAAAGAGGTTAAATGATATCTAAATATTCAGAGAGCTAAAAATGGAGTGAATTGTAAGAAAGAAACTAAGTTAATAAAAGTCAAAATTTGACAATAGAGTGACAAATTGGGCCGGTAAGATCAAATATATAAAAATAGGGAGCATATAATACAAAAATTCTAGATTTATATTTATAATTTTCATGAAGTGAGGGGTGCATTGTTTGATTACGTTTTACTAAAATGTTAGTATTGTTTGCTGCCGACCTTACCTAGCTAGTGGATAAGGCTTTTTTTGTTGTTGTTTTGTATCATTTATTGTACGAGGAATTTTAACAAGCCTCAATTTCTATGATATTAGCAGATTCTTGTGAGGATATGTTGATAGAAGACTGTTACATAAGTGTGGGAGATGATGCAATTGCAGTAAAAAGTGGCTGGGATCATTATGGAATTGCTTATGGAAAGCCTTCTAGGAATATAGTAATTCGAAACCTAGTTGTTCGCTCTAATGTCAGGTGAAGTGAAATGCTAACTCAAGTCACTTTTTGATCATTCTTGCTCACATGACGCAGGCATAACATTAACCTGATTAGTTGAAACAACAATTCATTACTTTTACATCAATTTTAATGTGATTTTTGTTTAAACGTAATCTTAAATGTGAAACCAAACATACAGTCATGCATGCACTTTGTATGTTAGAAAAATTGATTACTCATTATGTAACATATCATATATATCAAGGCAATGGATTTTCCTGAATCATCATACTATTTTGAATCATGGAAACACAAGCATTCTGAGTGATCAAATTCTGTTTGTGTGAAATGCAACAGTTCCGGGATCTCAATAGGGAGTGAGATGTCTGGTGGGGTATCCGACATCCTAGTGGAGAACATTCTTGTATGGGAATCAAGGCGTGGCATGAGAATCAAGACTGCACCCGGAAGAGGTGGATATGTGAGCCAAATAACTTTCAGGAATCTAGTGTTCAAAAATGTTGGTGTTGGAATTGTGATCAAGACAGATTACAATCAACACCCTGTATCTGGATACGATCCTACAATACTTCCAATACTCAGTGACATAAGCTTCACCAATGTTCGCGGCCAGGGAGTTCGTGTGCCGGTTCGAATTCAAGGTAGTGAAGAGATTCCGGTAAGAAATGTGACTATCCAGGATATGAGGGTTGGAATAGCCTACAGCTACGTGAACAAGCCTAGGTTCCAGTGTTCCTTTGCCCAAGGTCAGGTGTTAGGCACTGTCTTTCCTGCTCCTTGTGAGAACTTTGATCAGTACAATGAGCAAGGGCAGCTTGTTAAGCAAGGTTCCTCCATGAATGTATCAGATATAGATTATGAAATTTGACTTGTCTTGTTTTCGGAACTCTCAACCTTTGAGACATTAATTAGGCCTCATTTAATGTCCGATGATGTATGTATTAGATCTTTTTGTGAGAAATGAGTGGAAGGTTGCATCCATTCACCAAAATATATTTTTAATATCTAATATATATTTTTAGATGATAATATATTTTAAAATATATTTTATAATAACAATTCTAAATGGAACATAAATCTTCTGATTTTTCTTAGTTTAATTTTTTTAATCAATATATATAATTTTACTATTTTGATTTTTTCAATCAACGTATACAATAAAAAAAAAACACAAAAGATAAACATGCATAGTAAAAATTTTATTTTATCAAAAAACTTTTTATTTTAATATATTACATTATATATGTGAATATTAAGACATATATATATATATACATATATATATATTATAATTAAACTTTTTTAAAAAATTAATTCATTATTAAGAAAAAAAAATTTATTACATGAGAATTAATTTCTTTCAAAAATTTGATAGATATAAAATAAATAAACATTTTTTCTGAATCTATATTTTTATTTTATTAGAATATAATTTTTATTTTTTAAAATATATTATTTTTTTAGATAAAAAATTATGTATATGTCAAATAGTAGTGGGGCAAGTGCCCACTATTCCAAATGTACATCCGTCCCTATATATATCTATATATATATATATATTTCTTATAGTTTAAATCGGCATTTTGGCGATTTCTCGTCATTTTAAAACCTCTTAAAGTTATTTTCAATTATTAAGATCGGCGTCTCGACGACTTAAACTTGTTTCAAGACTCAAACTTCTAAGACTTAGAATTACTTTCTCATTACTAAACTCGGTGTTGTGGCGGCTTATCACTAAGCTTTAAACGTTGATTTTATATGTTAACATAATAATGGGTGCATTCGACATTCAAATGACGAAGTTAGGTGGAAGGCGATTTCCTAAATCTAATTACGCACAATATCAAGCAAAAAGAACGTACTTCATAAGTGTTTCAAAAACAAGTGAATAAAAATTTGTAAAGGCAACACAGCAGAAATAAAAAGCATAATGGCGGGCACAAGTTTTCGGGGTCAAGCTCAATCGTCCTCCGGGGGATCCACGAGTTACCCATCCATAAATTCTTTAAAGTAGCCGAGTCCCCCGAGGTCGATATCAGCGTGAAGAAACTTCACTTGACTTGTGGCAGCGTCGAAACCTTGTACAAACTTTTTCAACGAGTCCATTTTGGCAGCTTGAAGGTCAACCTGCAACTTTTCAACCTCCAACTTCACTAAGGCTAATTCATTCTCAAAGACTTGGGCCGCATCGGCGCTCTTGTCTCGGGCAAGTCGGATCTCCCCAAGCTCCTTCTCGAAAGCCTCCTTCTCGGAAGCCCAAGCCTTCCTCTCCTCCTTGAAGGTACGGCGACCTTCAAGCAGTTTGTCACGTTCAGTAGACACCCATTTCAAGTCGGCCTTGCTTTTGTTAAGTCTCTCCTTAAGAGAAGAAATTTTCTTTCCTTGTACTTTGGTCTCCCTCACTAACCCACGAACCTTATCCTCGTTGATCAAAGCAAGGGCAGAAAGGCGATTGGTCAAGGACTCAACTCCCTTAGCAATGGAAAAGGCACTCATCCTTTCCAAATCTTCCTTGTCGCCGACAAGCAAATCGGTCTCGCGGAGGTGGGCGGAGTGATTGAATTTTTCATCCCAAAAAGATAGAGCCTTACCGTGATCGGTGCCACGATCCACCGGGTCCCAATTCTCCCCAAGGCACATGCTTAAGGTCCTTTCAGCAGATTGTACTTCCGTGTCGCCTTTATCGCCCTCGACAGCTACAACCGTCTCTAAGTTCACCACCGAAATATGCTTCTCGGTCTCCCAGCGATGTTTGTGGGACGTCTCGGCCACATTATTGACCAGAGGGGTCGGCCTGCCAGTCTCACCGATTCTCAGTAGCTGACTCCTCCACCCCGGCGACTTGGGAAGCCTTCTGCTGCTTCCATAGCTTGGCCAATTCCCGATTGCTCATGCTTTCCATTTTATCTGCGAAACAATCTAACAAACATCATGTTGCAACAAAACATATAAATCATAAGGAAATGGAATAACGTAAGGGGTGATCGACGAGGGACCGATTACCTATATATATTTTCAATTCATTGGGCCTATTTTCTAAATATAGGAGTTTGGCAGTGTTGAAAACTGTTTTCAATTCCTCAAGTTTCCTAACATCATCTTGATCTCTCTCAGGAACCTTCTCGGGATTTAGTCCACCAAAGGGATTTGTTCTCTCGTTCCAGTACAATGGATACCCTCTTAGTAAGTCCTCGTTGCCAGGCGTACAATGAACTCGGAAATATGATTTTTTGAAGTCCTTGTAGGATGACTGGAAAAGAGTCAAAATTCCCCGATCTGATACCCCATGGACAGACACCCAACTACTACGCTTATTGGTGCGGCTTTCAAAAAAATAAAAAAAATTTTCTACAGTCGAGATTATGCCGAGTCCCATACATATAATTTCAAAACCTCGTACAAACGCCCAACTGTTGGGATGCAGTTGAGTGGGTGCCACATTTAGTGCATTCAACACCCCCTTTTGGCACTCGGTAAGTGGCCACCTGACCCTGAGTTTAGAAATAAGGGTCGCATAGCAAAAGGTGAAATTCTCAGCAGAGTCTCCCCCAATACACACAGGCTCCCTATCTACGCACAACTCACAAACAAGCATGTTATCACCCCCACTACACACCACATGCTCCCTACAAAGTATTGATTAGGTCTAGGCATGAGAAGTTGTATTATTTTGTAGAAGTGTATGTCCTTTTTGTGTAAAGATGAAGTGTGTTTCTTTCATTTTAAAAAATGACTCTCTTTGCTCTTCACTAATACCAAATTAATTGGTTAGTTTTTCTCCAATTTTCAGATTTTACAGCTTGAGAGTAACTCTTAGGTTCAGTAGTAACAGATAAGTTTGCAATAAAATTCTGATATTTAGATGACAACTTATTATAGGAGACAACAGAAGAAAGAGGATATAAGATTGGGGATTTTGTTTGTTGGTGACGTGAAAAAGATTTATCTGAACAAGAAGTGAGACTGAAATGATAATCTGCCAAGTAACTAGGTGTCTTCCTTGATTTGATTGACTGTCTAATAGGTTGATTAGAAGCTGAATTTTGAGCTTGTTCAAAATTCTGAACAGTAATGTCTGTAGCTCTCGTATGTTGTTGTATTGGTGGAGAATAATCAATATCATAAGTGCTAGAACATGTAGGCAAAGGAGTTGTAGTATTGTAAGGAGTACTTTGCTGTTCAAAGTGATAAGGGAATATATTTTCATAAAAGGATACATTCCTGGAAATGAAGACTTCTCTAGTCTTATAATCAAAGAGAATAAATCCCTTGGTGCCTTGCTTGAAGCCTATGAATATACATTTTCTTGCTCTAGGATCTTATTTGGTTATGTTATTAGAGAGCCAAAAACTTTGAGCATGGAAATGTCAAGTGCAACAGAATATAAAACTTCATAAGGACTTTTGTCTCTAAGAACTAGTGTAGGTATTCTGTTGATAAGATGAACAGAATGTCCAATAGCATAGGACCAAAAACATTTAGGTAGATTAGCTTGAAATAGAATAGCTCTAGCAACATTGAGAAGATGTTGGTGCTTTCTCTCAACAATGACATTTTGTTGAGGTGTCTCAACACAAGAAGTTTGATGAATGACACCTTTAGAAGCATAAAATTGCCCCATGTTGAACTCAAGGCCATTATCAGTTCTAATAACCTTAATTTTGGATTCAAACTGATTTTCAACCAAAACAAAAGAATTTTGCACTAAATTCCTTACTTCAGATTTATTTTTCAACAGATAAACCCAAGTATACCATGAAAAATCATCAACAATAGTGAGAAAATAAGTGTGTCCATGAAGAGCTAATAGAAACAGGTCCCCATATATCCGCATGAATTAAATCAAAAGCTTTAAGAGATTTGGTACTACTCAAGGTATAAGGCAATTTCTTTTGTTTAGCAATATGGCAAATATCACAAACAAAGTCTTTAGTATTGTTAATGAAAGAAAATTGTTTCTGCAAAACATTCAATCTCTCACAAGGGAGATGACCGAATCTAAAATGCCACAAGTTCTTGTCAACAAAAGAAGAACTACAATGACTATTAACACTTTTGTACATAGAAATGGAAGACTGTATTTTATCCGGTCCCTTTAACAGATATAAACCATCTTTAGCCTCAGCTGTACCAATCATCTTGGAGGTATTCAAATTCTGTATCCAGCTAGAATTATTAGAAAAAGTCAAGGTGCAGTTCAAGACAGAGGTAAGTTTAGATACAGAAATTAGATTATATTGAAAGTTAGGCAGATACAAGACATTAGTTAAGTAAAGGAAAGGAGAAAAATGGATGGTTCCTGATATAGATGCCAAAATAGAATTACCATTAGGCAAGTTGACATGAATAGGTTTTATGAATTTATAAGAAGTGAAGCATGTTAGAGAAAAACATATATGGTCAGTAGCTCTCGTATATCAAGAATCCATTTAGTATTTAAAATCTTACCATTGTGAGTGGGAATAATGCTATGTTGTTGTACAGAAGAAAGATTAACTTGAGCAGTATCGATATGATTAGTGCCATTGTCATTAGAATTTTGTGGAAGGAGAGCTAGCAGGTTCTGATATTGTTCGGCTATGAATCCAAATTTTTTCTCTTGCCTAGATGTATTGATGATATCAGCATTCTCAATATTCTCAATAATGCTCAGATTGGCAGATCTGTTGGCATATTTTGCATTTTTGAACTTGAAGCCTGGTGGAAATCCATGCTTCTTATAACAAACATCAATTGTGTGACCTGAATTTCCACAATGAGAACATATTTTCCCACCTTGTTGCTGAAATTTCTGGTTAGTAGAAGCTTTAAAATTATTGAACCTTTTTGTATCTTGAACAGAGTTCCCAGCCACATTGATTAACACCTTCGAATTTCCAGAATTTTCAGCAAGAAACTATTTTTCTTGTTGTACGTGCAACAAGAGAA